GAGGGCTGTCGCAATTTCAGCACCGCGTTATATGGAAATCGCGATCTGCGAGTGCCGTGGTATAAAAGGTTTGACTGTATCTTGTAAAAATATAGATACTAAAAATATTTTTTGTCTTGTTCTTATTGCACTTAAAAAAGTATCAGAAACCATGCCTCTAGACCAGAATATACCCTTTAAGTAATTTAGTTTTTTAATATGTTAAGTAACCATTGTGTAATCCAGTGCTGTAGAAATACAGTGCCGCACCATGACTTTCGCTATTTTGTTATCGTGTTAGAGCGAGACCGTCTAATAGGTTGCCGTGTTGTAGGGAGGATACCAGTACTTTGCATTTACACAAATAAGAAATAAGGAAATAGAAAAAAGTGGAAAAAGAAAATATGTCCCTTTCGAGAAATCGATCCGGCGATATCAGAAATAAAAGATCGCGCTGCTACTCATTACGATACCGAAGAAAAATATTTTCTTTTTTCTTACTTTTTTTTTATTAATTCTATACATCTTTACAATTTGTCCGTAGACATTTGGTAAATTGCTATATAAGTGAAAAAAGATAGCACGGGGACAGTTTCTTTAATCAAATGGCGACGCTATTGTAATTTCTTTCAATTAGGTTTAATTTTTCACTAGGTCTCCTGAGTGGATTTTTTTCAGCCTTCAAAGGATATATTAGTTAAAGTAATCGTCGGCTAGGTGGTTTATGTGCGTATCAATTCTTCTATTGTATTCGCAGGTTCTCTTTGCTATTTCTTTTTCTGGTTAAAGATACCATACCAAATTCAAAAACATAGTATATATATAATATAATTGTAAAAGTTAGTTAACCCGTTGCTGCACACTTTTAATTTGATGATCGTGCTCAGAGAAACACTTTTTTTTTAATTGTTTATGACTGCTAGATGGAATCAAGTGTAAGTTGTATGTTGGAAGTAAAAATTATCACATTTGGCCACAGTTTTTCCGAAAAAACTCCCGACGGCTATAACCATCATTTGCTCATCATGTCATTTTTCTCTTTCCAAAGCAAATGACGGCTATAACCGTCGTGACGACTCTACAGCATTTGCTTTACTAATTCAAAATGATTCCTGTTGTTGCGACCGATGCCTTAATCGGTACTCCAGTGGATTGTAGTAAATCGAAAAATGCCCTCACGGGTGATATCGAGATTGTTTATTAATGGGAAAGAGGATAGGAAAATAAAACACACTAACAAATATATTTGAGCCCAGTCAGTACTAAAAAGTACGCTTTATTTGGCTCGTCAGGGAAAAGCCTTTCGGCATAAAAACCCTGGTTGAACGTAGAAGAAGAATCCGCAAATCAGGATAATTCTGGCCAAGTACAGGACCGCCTTTGTCCCTTGTCGCTGGTCGAACTTAGATGATGTGGTATTGTGCAATACAAATAATTCTCCTCGAAGTAGTTTCTCGCAAGTTTT